ACTTTAAAGCGTATATTTAAATGTAAAGTGTTTATTCCGATAGAATTATGCAAACATCATTTATATTTGGACTACTGCAGTCAAGAAAAAAGAAATAAATTATTTTATTACAACATTTTTTGGTTACTGTACGTAAAGAACTCAATTTTTGTCAACGAAACTCGATTGTAGTAAACCTGACATTTAATCTGTTTTGTTTCTAGTAACACATTTTTACCGTCGCTAAAATGGTTTAAATATATTTTAAAAGAAATTTTCGCTACTTTCTGGATTAAAATGTAGGTAAGATCTATAGAATTTCTGAGGAAGAGCTATATTACAAAACCTATAGGAAATTTTCTATCAAGTTTTAAAGCATATACGAACGAATGAAAAGTGTACGGTTTAAAAAAATCTAGCATATATTATTTTCTTTACATCAACTGCAGTCGAAGAATACAGAAAAAAATCATTTTATTATACCTTTTTTTATGTACTTCACGTGTAGCATTCAGTTATATTTCGACAAAATTCGATTGTAGTAAACGAAACATCTTTTCTGTATAGTTTCTAAAAGCACATTTTAACCTTGGCTAAAAAATTTTATACTTGTTTAAAAAGAAATTTTTGCTACTTTCTGGATTAAAGCGTAGTTAAAAATTAAAGATAATTTAAAAAAGTGCTATTTACCAGACGCTATAAAACGTTTTCTTTCAAGTTTTATAGCGAATACTAACAAATAAAAAGAATTATGTCCAATAAAATCTAGCATATATCATTTATTTACAACAACTGCAGTCGAGAAGAAAAGCAAAAAATCATTCTATTACAACACTTTTTGGTTACTTCACGTGTCGAACTCAATTATATTTTGAAGAAATTCGATTGTAGTCAACCAAACATCTATTCTGTTTAGCTTCTAGTACTTCTATTTCTTTGTTGCTAAAAATGTATTATTATATTGAAAAAGAAATTTCTGCTACTTTCAGGATTAAATCGTATTTAAAAACTATAAAATTTTTAAAAAAGAGCTATATTACATAAGCTATAAGAAATTTTCTATCAAGTCTTGAAGTGCATACTAACAAATGATAAGTGATCAGTTCAATAAAATCTAGTATATATCATTTATTTTACAACAACTGCAGTCGAAAAAAAAAAAAAATCATTTTATTACAATTTTATTTGGTTACTTCTCGTGTAGCATTAAAATATATTTTGAAAAAATTCGATTGTTATAAACCAAACATCTTTTTTGTATAGTTTATAAAAGAACATTATAATCTTTGCTAAAAAATTTTTATTATACTTAGAAAAAAATTTTTTCTTCTTTCTTGATTAAAGCGTAGTTTGAAAATAAAAACAATCTAAAAAAGTGCTATTTACCAGACGCTATGAAATGTTTTCTTTCAAACTTTAAAGCGTATATTTAAATGTAAAGTGTTTATTCCGATAGAATTATGCAAACATCATTTATATTTGGACTACTGCAGTCAAGAAAAAAGAAAAAAATTATTTTATTACAACTTTTTTTTGTTACGTTACGTGAAGAATTCAATTCTTTTTTAACGAAACTCGATTGCAGTAAGCCTGACGTCCATTCTGTTTTGTTTGTAGTAGTACGATTTTACCGTTTCTTAAGAGGTTTAAATTTATTTAAAAAGATATTTTTGCTACTTTCTGGATTAAAGCGAAGTTTAAAATTAAAAATAATCTAAAAAAGTGCTATTTACCAGACGCTATGAAACGTTTTCTTTCAAACATTAAAGCGTATACTTACAAATAAAAAGTGTTAGGTCTGAAAGAATTAGGCAAACATCATTTACATTTGGACTACTGCAGTCAAGAAAAAGGAAAAAAATCACATTATTACAAATATTATTGGTTACTTTAGGTGAAGAATTGAATCTTTTTTAACGACACCCAACTGTAGTAAAGCTGACGTCCCTTCTGTTTTGTTTCTAGTAGCACATTTTTACCGTTGCTAATAATGTTTTAATATATTTAAAAACAAATTTACGCTTCTTTCTAGATTAAATCGTAATTAAAAACAATAAAATTGCTAGATAAATGTTTTATAACAAAAGCTATAAATCGTTTTCTTTGAAGTTTTAAAGCGTATACTAACAAATAAAAAGTATTTTGTCTAATAAAATCTAGCATATATCTTTTATTTACAACAACTGCAGTCGAGGAAAACAAAAAAAAATCATTTTATTACAACTTTTTTTGGTTACTTCACACGTAGCATTCAATTATAATTCGACATAATTCGATTGTAGTTGTTTGAGAATAGAAATAGATTAGGAGGTTTGAATAAGATGCTCTAAGAGAAGACAAGGAGATAGGCGAGAGAGGCTAGTGGACTGTATTGTCTTAATTTCTGGTAGAATTTATGTGGAACAAGATTTATTAACAATTATGAATAGAAAATTAGAGATAGCGAAAGTATAATAGGTTTGACAAACAGTAATAGGTAAGCTACGCAACGTGTACCGGAAATCACGCCACGTGTACCGGATATCACGCTACGTGTACAGGAAGTACGTAGCACGAGAAGTCGTTAAAGCAAAAGAAAAATGTAGTAATGAATTAATGAAACAAAGAGTACAAAAATAAGAGGTCAGAAAGTATATAGAGATGATCAGATTAGAGATTAAGGTTATGAGATTACTTAAGAGGTCGTTAATGAGAGAGAGTATAAAGAGATGATCAGTCATAAAGACACAAATACAAGGATGGTCTGGATAAGAAAAAGCGAGAGTGAGATGAGATGGAGCGGTTAGCGATGAGATTGAAGCGAGATGAAGACTATGAGATGATTCACAAATTTCTGAGATTTGCAAAAGTACGTCTGCACAGGTTAACTTCTAAAATGATTTTGCCTCGATGAGAGAGGACAAGAGTGAGATGAGGACCATGAGAACGGTGAGAGATGAAAAAAGAGCGAGAGAGAGGACTATAAGGAGATGTCCAAATTTAGAGAGTCAGAGGACACGTCTGCACTGATTGACTTGAGAAACTATTCTGCCAGGACCTCGCATCTTTTCGGTACGGGTTGAGGAACAGCGAGGTCGTAGCAAGAAAACAATAAACCATTTAGCACGTTCCAAGTTAGGAAAAGATGACAAACAATCAATAGGAGAGTAACACGCAGAGAATGACGTCACATGGGACCAATGACCTATTGACACGTTAAGTTGCGTGAACCCTTGATCAATAAGAACAATCATTATGTCTTCTGCTCAGCTATAACAGACGGCGCATTAATCATGCTAGCCGAGAGGTTCTGCTATCTAGTCTGAGGAGCGCAATTTTCAAACATTCTCCCCCCCCAATTCTCGAGCGTGATTCGAGACTTTGACTTTGTGAGATGTGCTGAACCGCTAAGAAAATTAATCTTCCTTGTGCGGTTGGAAAGGCAATGGTGCGAGCTTGACGATAGGTCTAGTGATAGTGCTGGTGGCAGTCTTAAGCGTGACAACCCTGCAGAGACCGTCCTTTCCTGAGTGTAGTTGTATCACCCTGGCGAGAGGCCACTTTGACGGAAAAAGTCATTCGTCGGTAATGAGGACAAGAGACCCTTCCCTGATATCGTTCAGCGATGTCTGCGATTTGGATGTGGTCTGATGCGCTTGCAGGCATTCCGTCGACCACCTTTTCCAAAATCGCTGAAAGGGCTCTTGAATCCGCTGGAAATGAGATAACCTGGAATCTGAGATGTCTATTAGAAAAGGATCGGGGATGGTTGTCAATGCCTCCCGTCTGATGAAATGTCATGGAGTTAAGGCTCTGATGTCATCAGAGTCCTCCGAGACAGATCTGAGAGAGAGATAGAGAGAAAGGGAGAGAGAGAGATCTGAGAGATGGAGAGAGGGAGAGTGTCCGAGAAAGAGAGAGAGAGAGAGAGATCTGAGAGAGAGATCTGAGAAGAGAAAGAGAGATGGTCTACAAGGTGCTGCTCGCATTGCGATTCGGCAAGACTTAAGGTTGACTCGGGCGAAGATGAGACTTCTTCCTGAACCCAGAGTTTTGTTAGAGCTTTGTCAAGAGATTCGTTATAGATGGCATGGCAAATTTTGAGAGGATCGACCTTGCTCGGGCTGGAAGTTGCKCCTAGAACTGCCCAASCGAACCTGGTGTGGAAGGCTATAGGTTCTGAGTCGCCTCCCATAACAAGGCGAGAGGACTTGAGAACTCTTCTGAGATTATCAGCACCAATGAGAATGTCAATGTGATCTGGAGTAAGAAAGTCAGGATCCGCTAATTTAAGAGATCTGAGATGAGGCCAATCTTGCTCTGATATTACAGAAGACGGCAATTGAGATGTTACTTTTGGCAAAATAAATGCCTTAAGATGAACCCGAGATTACGAGTATGTCGATGGGAGGACCAAGGACACTTGACCTTGGGTCGCTCCTGAAAATGTACTACACACACCCTGAATAGAAATGTTTCCTGGAGAACGGCTAAGCTTTAGCTTAGCTATGATTTTAGAAGAAACTAACGTCAACTCTGATCCAGGATCAATAAGAAGACGTTCTAATTTAGGCGATCCATTTGAAGATATGGCAAAGGCTTTACAAGTAGCTAAGAGTACTGGAGCTCTAGAGCACGTTGAAAGCGATAGGTTAGACGAACGATCAATGTCTGATATAGGCGACGAGAATCTGACTCGTTTCGTCGTCTAAGAGGACCTTGAGGAGGATGAGATGGTCGATTTTAAGATGGATCTGAGAGGACGGTGTAGATTATGAGATGTCCTACCTAGTCCTCATTCTGAGGACGCCATTTTTGAAGAATTCTGAGAAGGACTCTTCTTGGTAGGTATGGACTTAGGAGGAGATGATCGAGTTGAGGATGACTTGTGAGGGGAGTCAGGAACAGGAGCCTTCGGTTTGGAGACAGGTAGGGGAGTTGACGTACCGGAGGTGGATGATGATGACTTCGCACTAGAGGATCGGCGTGGAGATGACTTCTTTGGTGATTTACGACGATCCTCTCTCGGTTACTCATCTGATGATACCCGTGAGCCCTACGAGGACGAGACTCTCTGAGATGTCTGTGTTGTCTCTGAGAGAGAGCTTAAAGTCCTTGATATTGGCAGCGATGACCTTGATATAGGAGGAGATGTCCTAGACGATGTTGGAGGAGATGTCTTAGACAATGTTGGAGGAGATGTCTTTGAGATTAGAGGAGATTTTCTGGTTGTAGGAGGAGATGTCCTAGACGTTGTCATCCTTTTCTCGGGATGTATGAGCGTGTGGTGCCGATCTCCACACTTGTTGCATCGCCTAGTACTCCTACATTGCCTAACGTTATGTCTGCCCAAGCAGTTATAACATAGGCGAGATTCCGTTATGATTTTCTCCTTCTTCTGGTGACTTGAATTCTTGAAGAGAGGGCAAAAGGCGATGTAGTGCTTCTGACTACAATAGCTGCAGGTGTTGGAGAGGTCTGTTAGGAATAGCATCGGATGTTCTTTAACTGGCCTTTTATCCAATGCCGACTGAGATGATCGTGTAGGATAAGGTATAGGTGTAGGCGTAGTGGCCTCAGCCTTAACGTTTAAGGCCCTTGAGTAGGACCTGGTGGGGGGAGATTTGGCTCGTTGAGATTTCTTTTTGGATCCCTCGTAAGACTTACGAGTCTTGATATGTTCCAGTGCTCTAGCCGTGCTAGTGAGATGACTCATTAGTTTCTCCAGCAGTGGAAACTCGCTTGATGTTCCTAGCCTGGTTTCCCAGTCTTCGCGAGTCTTGTCGTCCAGTGATAATCCCACCTGATGAACGRTAATGTGATCCCATTGGTCAGTCGGGCATCCTAATGTTGCTAGAGCACTGAGAGATGACGTCACTACATTGATTAATTTGTTGAGGGATCCAGAAGACCTTTTCTTTGTGCGAGGAAGGGCCATCAGCCTATCGAGATGAGCCAGGATTAATAGGCGTTCGTTGTCGAATCTATCTGACAATCTATTCCATGCTCTTGTAAAGGAATCAGCGGATAGTTTCAGATCTGAGAGGACTTTAGCCGCTTCTCCCTCCAGGCTAGCTCGGAGATAGTGTAACTTCTCTACTTGTGAGAGGTCTGAGTTGTCCTTGATCATTGAGGAAAACAGTTCCTTAAAGGGTTTTCACTCTGAGAAGGCACCAGAGAACTTCGGTAACTAGATGTTGGGAAGTACAGTCCTAAAACGAAATGCTATTTGAGATGTGACAGGTGTTACTTGCTGGGAGAGTTCTTCTATCCGCAAGTTTACCAGCGTTACTACGCCTAGATATGCCTGCATGGTCGCATCGTAGCGATTCTCCGTGAAGTAGGAGTGTTCCATGGCTGTTTCGCAAAATGACGATACGATGCGGTCGTCTTCGGCATCGAACTTTGACCATGCTGTTCGAAGCMACTCCCTTGTGTCGATAGCGGTTGAGAGGTTCATAGTGTGGAAGTTCTTTGAGTTTGCAGTCAATGTTGAGATGGTTTTAGCCCGCGCCTCTGGAAGCGCTAGTTTCGCTGCCATCTTGAGGCAGGGTTGTTGTTAGGGGAGACTTTAATGTAGTGGTGGGGCCGTTCCCACTACTTCTGGAGATGACGATAAKTCTCTAGTGCCGGATTCCCGCGCCACCTAGACTTTCCCTAGCGGACTACAGACGTAGGAACTATCATCCTGTATTTTGAGAACCCGACGTTAAAATTGCACTAACGGTCCCTTGAACTGATTTTTCTGTCGCAGCACAACGTCCTGGGTTCTCAGCAATGCGACAGGGGTTGTACAAGACACATTTTAGTAACGTTAAATCTTGTTACACTCACAATTAATTCTATGAATCCGGCTCGAAGGACCAAAAAATGTTCAAGAATAGAAATAGATTAGGAGGTTTGAATGAGATGCTCTAAAAGAAGACAAGGAGATAAGCGAGATAGGCTAGTGGACTGTATTGTCTTAATTTCTGGTAGAATTTATGTTAAACAAGATTTATTAACAATTATGAACAGAAAATTAGAGATAGCGAAAGTATAATAGGTTTGACAAACAGTAATAGGTAAGCTACGCCTCGTGTACCGGATATCACGCCACGTGTACCGGATATCACGCTACGTGTACAGGAAGTACGTAGAACGAGAAGTCGTTAAAGCAAAAGAAAAATGTAGTAATGAATTAATGAAACGTAGAGTACAAAAATGAGAGGTCAGAAAGTATATAGAGATGATCAGATTGGAGATAAAGGTTATGAAATTACCTAAAAGGTCGTTAATGAGAGATTATATAAAGAGATGATCAGTCAGAAAGACACAAATACCAGGATGGTCTGGATAAGAAAAAGCGAGAGTGAGATGAGAAGGAGCAGTTAGCGATGAGAATGAAGCGAGATGAAGACTATGAGATGATTCACAAATTTCTGAGATTTGCAAAAGTACGTCTGCACAGGTTAACTTCTAAAATGATTTTGCCTCGATGAGAGAGGACAAGAGTGAGATGAGGACCATGAGAACGGTGAGAGATGAAAAAAGAGCGAGAGAGAGGACTATAAGGAGATGTCCAAATTTAGAGAGTGAGAGGACACGTCTGCACTGATTGACTTGAGAAACTATTCTGCCAGGACCCCGCATCTTTTCGGTACGGGTTGAGGAACAGCGAGGACGTGGCAAGAAAACAATAAACCAATTAGCACGCTCCACGTTAGGAAGTGATGACAAACAATCAATAGGAGCGTAACACGCAGAGGATGACGTAACAGGGGTCCAATGACCTATTGACACGTTAAGTTGCGTGATCCCTTGATCAATAAGAACAATCGATATGTCTTCTTCTCAGCSATAAMAGACGGCGCATTAATCATGCTAGCTGAGAGGTGCTGCTATCTAGTCTGTGGGGCGCAATTTTCGAACAGTAGTAAACCAAACATCTTTTCTGTATAGTTTCTAAAAGCACATTTTAACCTTCGCTAAAAAAGTTTTTAATATATATTTAAAAAGAAATATTCGCTACTTTCTAGATTAAAGC